GAGTCGAATCCATAAGCCACGCATGAACCAGCCGCCTCAGGTGTCTTACCACAAGTATGCAGTCCACTACATATATCCAACTTCGGCGCAACACTTCCGTGGCTACAAATTTGTCGCCTCAAACCATGCGCAGAATCCGTCGCAGACACTGTTGATGAAACGGCTCGAGATATCTCATATCTCGTCGGTACTTCGTCCACGTTTCACTGCCGTACAGAAAAACGGACAGCACCATGGATTTGTAGACATTCAGCTTCGTGCCAACGGTAAACTGGTGGTTGTTCCACACTCGGTCCTCTAACTTATAAAATCCCCGCTGCCCTCGATACGCGAATAGGCAGCTCAGTGTGAATTTGCTGCTCAGTCGAAACCACACTCCAAAGGTATCAGACGTGGGGGTGGTTTCCAATACTTCAGCACCAATGCTGATTCGCGGCAATATTGAAGCTTGCATATCCGTTGAAGGCTGAAAGAGACAGACAGTTTTGCTTGTGTTGAGGGTGAGCCCGAATTTGGCGGCTGTCGAAGCCAGAGCACTAGTCATGTGCTGCAACTCATCCGCGCTGTGTGCAAACAACGAACAGTCATCAGCAAACAGCGACATACAGATAGTTGTCTCACAGTCGCGGGTTCTCGCACCAAAACGACGGAATTGCAGCAACCCACCATCAATACACCGTAAGTACACCGTAAGTACAAGCAGCATCAAAAGCACAAGACATCATGGCATGAAGATAAATATTAAACAGGGTAGGAGCTAAGACGCAGCCTTGCTTCATACCATAGACAACTGCAAATTCATTCGAGGTCTGTGCACAAAGCTGTACCCGCACCCGCATACCATTACGCAGTCATTCCATTACACTTACAAACCTTCTCGGACAACCAAACTTACCCAACAGCAACCACAATACCTCGCGGTTCACTATAGTAAATGCTTTGGTGAAACCAGCAAACAGCGAGTACAACGGCTGGTGTCCTTCTCCGCAGTTCTCCTGCAACCGAGGAGCCGCAAACTCTACATGGCCATGCCATCACCTTCAGGTTCACAATCTGACTGACGAGACGGTTGAGCAGGATTAGGGCAATCACCTTACCCACACAACTCAGCAAGTTAATAGCACGATAATTCGTGCAACATTGCTTACTCCCTTTGCGCTAATACAGTGGTAGCACAAGGACATCCTTCAAATCAGGAGGCGCCTTTTCCACAATCCAAAGCGATTACACCAAATGGTGCAGCGCATTTAGTAACGCGGGTCCGCCAGGTTTCAATGTTTCGGGCGAGATCCCGTCGGCACACATACACTTGCCGTTTCGCAGCTGAGCAAGTGCTCACTGCGTCTTATTCAGCGTTGGCGTGCCCTCCAGACTCATATTAACCTCGTGCTGCTTGACGCCGTTTAGTACAGGCCAGTCCAGCTCTCAACGGCTGTTCAAGAGATAGGCAAGGTCAAAGTGCTTCCTCCAGATCTTCATTGTGTCTGCAGTCTGTGTGCAAGTAGCGCCTGAGCTACCATCGGGTATTGTCCTCAGCGGCTCCCATCTCGGTCTGTACACCGCCTTCAAGAAGTCAAAGAATTCTTGGTGTTGGCGACATTCGGCGTAGCATTCCAACTGCTTCGCCTTCTCCGTCCACCATGCATTTTTAATGCGACGGAGCTCTCGAGTCAGTCGCCGTCGAATTTTGCGAAATTGACTCTTCTTCCCCAAATTATTGGGGTTTGCCACATGTGCCGTTAATGCTGCATTCTGAACAGACACCAATGCCCCAGTCATCGCATTGTTCTCATCAAACCAATCGGGTCGATTGCATTTTGTGCGCCCGATGGTCTCCTCGACAGCAGCTGTTACCTGGTCGCGAATGTGGTGTCACAGGTCGCCCACTGTGGCTATGCATTCTACATCACACAGTCGTGAAGCCATCGCCTTCTCCAGCTCAGTAGGTTTCGCCCCAGTACCGAGCGAGCGAATGTTAAATTTACGCCGGTGCACGCGGGACTACACTAAATAGATTTCCAAAAATATAGATACAGTTTTCTCCGCACCAATCTGTGATCAGTGCCACACACAGTTCCACGCAGTACACATGTTATGCGCACTTCACGTATATCACGCTGACGTACGATGACATAGTGGAACAGGTGGGTGTGACCACTCTGTGGGTGCCTCCGAGTTGCAATATCACTCCCACTCAGTGCAAGCCGAGTGTTCGTGATCGTCAGGCTATGAGTGGCACACAGTGAGAGCAGCCTGTTCCCGTTTGCATTCGCTAACCAATGCCATACGAACTGCTAACATCTGTCCACACCAATGCATCGCGTTCAACGAGCGAGTTGAAATCACCCAGCAGAAATAGTCGGTCGCTCCTCGGCACAGAACTCATCACTGAGTTTAGCCGAGTGTAGAATTGATCATACGTGTCATCAGGATAACACATGGTCGGACAGTACGTGCTTATTAAAGTAGCAAACTTACATCTTCCTAGTAGTAGGCGAGCAGTCATCAGTTACGCGTTGATGCCAGTCTGCTCACCCACCAGCCGGCTATCTAGACGATCGGATATTACAAATCTGATCCCGTGTTCACGTAGTACTTAGGTGCGTTGACCACCAGATAGAACGTGTAACCAGCACCTGCTTCATGCAATTTACCCTGCTCAGCGAGCCGAGTCTCACTGAGCGCCGCAATATCCATGTTGTAACACGCCAGTTCCGTCGCCACCAGTGCAGTGCGTCGCTCGGGGCGCTCAGTAGTCCGGTCCAGTAGCCGGTCCATAAGCCAGTTCTAAGTATAAGTGCTTATTGATCGAGTTCTGTTTTGAATGCTGGGTTTCTAGAAACTCATGCTTTGGTCCATCTTTTATCTTTTGAAGATGCTGATTTTACAAAATTGAACTTATGATTTTCCTTCTTTCTGTGTATTGATATTCATAGTTCATAACCTTTAGGCTAGACAATTGGGCTACATTCATGCGGTTTCGCACTAAAATGTCTTCCTGTTTGCTTACGTGTCGCAGTTTTAAAAATGAATTTGAAAATCACCTCCGAGGCCTGTTTAGCCATGATTATTTTCATGTTGTAAACTTTGTTTCCGACTGTTTCTATTTACTTGTTAAAAATCTTGGTTCCAATGAATGATTGCAGTTTCGCTGCAATTTCGGAGATTTCTCTGATTGTCTATGACGCAATTTTCTCCCAGACATTTCCAGTGATGGTATCTTATCAGGGCACGATGTGTAATGGCAGTTGACATCAAAGTGCCCCTTTTTGGCACCCTCTCCCTTTGAGCACGTTCATGTATTGGTCTTTCTACACTTACTTCAGTCTGTCGGAACGGGACAATGACAAAGTTACGCTTGTGAATTTTAGGATGACCGCAACTGTGTTTCAGGATATAATTCGAATACGTTCAAATCAGTTACTTCAGTCCCATAGATCTCCTCGCCTCACTTGAGCCAGGGATAAAATCAAATGACAGCGCAACTGACGGCTGATAACAGATAAGACATGGGTTTAGACTAACTCGGGATTATAACAACAGGTGCTGGTAAGCTTCTGAAATTATATATATATACATATATGTATGTATATATATATATAAAACTTTGATTACCAAAGGGAGCATTATCGTTACCGTGGGCAAGATTGACTACAAGATGAAAGCAGAACAGCCCTTCAGTGTCGCAAATGTATGCTAGCGCGGGTAAATGAAGATCCAAGAAAGTTCCTGGAGAATAACCTGAAACGCGTAATGAAAATAATGGAAACCCGGAGCAACTGGCATAATCGGAAAGCCGAAAGATAAACACATAAGATTTAGCACTGCCGTGGGTCTACGATCTGACTAAGGTGGAGTTCAACTCACCCCCATTATGCCAATACTTGTCACAGAATTACAGTTATACATATATAAGTTCTGGAAATGGCCGAAAAGCCTTACTGCGGACTCAGAACAGTAGATGAACCCGACTGAACACTTTGTAGCGAAAGGTGAAACGAAAACCATAAAACATTGTTGCCTAAATTTTTTGGTGTGACGTCGCTTGTAACGCGATTCAACAGAAACTTGGCGAAACACATTTTGACAGTATTACCTTAAACAACGCTGACGGTTTGATGCATGAAATAAATTGGACATAGGAAAATACAAGTAGTTGTTGACCAGGTGATAGCAGCTATGCTGATTATGTTTTCTAATCTATCAACCAAACCACAGCAAAACAAATACTCAACTCGAAGAGCAAAGCTAAATCCGCTTCCACACCAAGGGATACAGGCGTTTCCAACATAACTGAGTCTCGGCTTTCAGTTAGAATCTGAATTATGGAGTCAAACCGTCTAGACAATACCCTCGTACTCATGTGTACGGTTGCTAAATAGAATACAGGCTCGGAATGTTTACAGGCTTTAAGTAGCATTGCGTGACTGCGCTCAGGGGTAAATTCCGGGGTCAAATGCACACAAGTTAGATGCGTTGCAACTATCACGTGAGCAAATGATGTTCAGCTAATTCATAGACGACGTTGCCCCCTGTTCTAATGTGGGAATCTTCCTCCGGATAACTGTGACATTGTACATCAAAACCAACGCTGTGAACTGAGGTTATTGCGGATTAAAACATTTACTGGATCTGTCGCACGGAACCCTGGAGGCCATTATATGGTATATTAACAACATTTCTGCCTTTTCTTCTTTACATGTTTAGTCAAGGAATTTGAATGATAGAACAAGTGGTCAATAACTTACTAGACTGCACAGATTGCATAACAAATTTGCATGTAAAATAGAAGCGGTGGTTTATTTACACGACCCGGCTACGTTAACCTCACGGTTCAGTTCTAAATATAGTATTAACTGACCTGTTTTGTGAAACAGTATGGCATAGCGCGATGTCATCATTGTTTGTGAAAATGTTACCTATCTAGCAGCATAAGTAAAGCATTTTTCTGGTCACAAGTTAAGACATCACAATCAAAGAGGTGTTTCTCTGCTTTTAAGGTCGGTCTTCCATGTAAATCCGGTGTGTCCGGTGTCATTATGGTTGTTGTGCCAAATCTTTTGGGCCTGGCACTCTTCTCCCCTCGAATTGACCGGCACGGAAACTCCGTACGTGGGGTTCAATTCTGTCAGGTAAGCAGTGCGCCTGTCTTTCATCTTTGATCAAGTATCAACTGTTTCTCTGCAACGGAATATGATCTTGACCCTGTAAATGTGCCTAGTGTTACATGCTAAGAGAAACTTGACAGTGAAATATCGACTAATCAATGATGAGCTACGTTGCCTATTGCTGAGCTAGTTATTATCAATAATAGCCGAGCAAGAATGTACTATGATCAATGAACAGATCTTTGGTCATCGCATAATCGCGTCTTATCTTCGATAGGTGATGTTTCTAAACTGACGGGATGTATTTCACGTCGTTGTATCCTCGCGGGTATTTCGCCAATACGATAATGGCCTCTAAATGCAGATCTTTCAGGAATGCATTGTTTTCAGAAGTGGTGTGAAGTCACTGTGTCAATCAGTGCACGCCTGTTACTGAAAATTCTTTCTTGATCTATCATTATTCATAATTTCTTAGCCTACAAGCGTTGTACGACAACAGGGCATCAATTCAAACTACTGATGACCTTCTGCAGCAGATGATGATGACTACGAGGTTTCCGCTGCTGATGCTGATATTGATTATTATGACTATGATAATGCTGACGGTGATTGCGATGAGGATAGGTAATAGAGAATACAGAAAAACAGAACTAGAAGATATACATTTTGTTGCCTATCGATATACTGTTAGGCACGCATTCGGCATAACGCCTTCTTTTTACCTCACATTGTCAAAACAGTTCGGCTGCGCTATAACCTATGCTGCTGTGATGCGCTCTCAAAATCTGTAATCCGCAAAGTAGGCGTCTAAAAATTACTTGAAATCCGGCACCGATTTCCTTTCGACCGTCGCCCCGAGTAAAGTTCGTCACTATTTCACTCACCGATGCTCAAAATATAGTGGGTGACCTATGCGCTTCAAATCGGGTCCCACAAAATTCTATTAGCGTCCTAGAGTTTAGTTTTGGTATTCGCACTTGTAAAAGCGGTCACACCATAAATAAGCCACAAAGTTGCAATATCCGGTGCGTCATTATGATGTTCACTCGAAGCCACGGGCATTACAGGGTGCGCAACCCGAGCCGCCTGCAGCGATCTCTGTATATCATATCATGTGAATTTGGTTACGTCTGGTGCATACATGCTGCACACGTCCTAGTCCCTGCACCTCATCAGTAGTGAATAGACAATAAGCGGTTGAGCTGTGGTCAAACATTCGTCTTATGATAGAAGATAAAATATGAGTGGCAGTCTCTGCTAACCAACTGCAGAAACCGAGTTTGAGCACCCAAATTATGTACAGTCCGTTTCCATATAGCTTGTTCGTGTTGTCCGTTGACTTCAAATCGCGATGTGAGAGTACACCTAGGTTCGCCGACAATGAACTAGATTGCGGGCCCACTGATGTATATCGATGGGACGCTGCATACGTAAATCACCTAGCTCTCTATTTTCAGTCCTTAGCAATCATATTGTGCGAGCTTATGAATACTTTTGGGATGCTTTGTGCATATCCGAATAGGGTAATATGCCAAGCTCATGGTGATTACCGCTGTATACTCATTTTGTCTGACATCCCATTGGCGGTTCCACAGTATGATCGATAGCGAACATTGGTAGTTTTAATGGCCTCTTTCGCCAATGGCCAATGCAAGCAACTTGTTTCATAGTCTCATAGAAACAATGGTTTCTCATAGGAAACTGTGGGATTAAGGTCCCGACAGGAAAACTGACAAGTGACTTCCATGTCGGGCTGAAATATGACGATATGGCCAGAACACTTCCGTCTGGAACTGAACGCATTTCTTAAGATACGCGAACATTTTTGTACTACTTTCAATTAGTAAGTAAACACTTCATCATCAAATATATGCTATTTGATGGGTGGACCATTAATTGCGCATTTCAGGCCAACCGTATTTCTGCAGGTTTTCGTGTAGCAGCCAAGGCTGTTGCAACAGTTCGTAGGGAGTAAGTAGCCTTAACAATGTACTGCCCAGTCACATTACCAATTGGTCTGAGTCACCGTCAGGTAAATGGTTTGACTTTGGGCCGAATGATGCTGTACTAACAGGAAAAGCATGTTATACTGAAGGTTTGCTAGGGAAATAACCAGTTATTTAGCGATTTAGTGTAAGTACCGTTGATTCCTACTGAAAACCTGCTGCGACAAAGTTCCAAAATAGAATCCATAGCCTCATATTACTTTCCCGGACTCCACAAACGTTTTCATTAGTAGTGTTTCCCACCAACAGTCAATCTTAAAATGCAGAGAATGTAGATGGTTAGTCTAATGCCTAGATCACATATGTAACCAAATGCCCAGAGGAACCGAGCTAGGTGTTTCAGTTCATTTTTCTAAAAGTTACCGAGATAACGCCAGACTGCCTACAGTTGTGTTGAGCAATTTTTTGCTTCAGATCTGGCTTCGGTGACTTTTTACCCTCACGGTTACATTCGAGTAGGATCCGGATACACTACTGTTTGACAAAATTGGTATTTAGTACCAATGGAACATGGCAATGCACAATATAAAAAACGAGTCGGAATAGTTCAGGCATGTTCAGTTGGATCACGGGGACTGCCGGGAGATTCAATTTTGTGAATTGCTAATAGTAATTATAGACGCAGGAACTCATTAAAAAGTGTTCAAGCATAAACGCACGCCGTACATGGCTTGTTACGGCCGCACTTTAACTCGGCTCCCGCTTTGCCTTCTTTGGCCACTCTAATTCTCCCCACACAACATTGTGCGCGCGCTCATTCGAATCGGTTAGACGTGCTCTACTCAATCTTTTCCACTTCTTGCACCTAACCTGTGTGGATTATGCTCTTGCTTCAGTTTTCAGTTTCGGCATATACTTTACCGATTTCTACGTGTGTAAATAAACCAAACCGAAGTTTTTCGGGAAAGATGTTGGTCTCATTCGGGAGAAAAAGCTGAGGACTCCCAAACTACCCGACGACCATCCCTTCAAGTAGCAGCATAACAAAGTTACGGTCATTTTGTTTCGTTCATTAACTAAACAGCTCTAGGGACGCTTATCAGCACTCCACCTGCATCGTCGCTTAAGGCAGGCCGATCAACACACGTTGCCGCTTTGTGTGGGTGTGTGTGTGTTCGACTGCGAGTCGTTTGATCGCTGAGCCCGACAGTATGCGCGTTACGACCTCTATCTGTTTCGACCGACTGACCTTGGTGCGGTTGAACAACTCTCCATTCGTGTGCGTGTTTTGGCGTGTTTGTGCATCACGCCTGGCGTATAGAACACTCATCAAGGTGAGCGCTCACATAGGTCTTGCTGCAAACGATATGAAGACGACTAACATTCCATTGGTTCAAGGTCGCCCATGTCGCGCTGTCTTTGGCAGTAAAGTCCTTAAGATCGAGGTAACCTGTTCTAGTTGCATTAGCTCGTACTGTCCGCAATATGTAGGCAAATCCGTCAAAGAATTGAGACAGACAAACAAAGTTGATAACATAATTTTGTTTTGTCCAGCATGTTGTTATTCCAGTTGTCAACTATTTATCTTTGCTCATGGAACAGTGTGATAGTATGAGTGAAATAATCACGCATTTTGTAAATATTAAGGTCGATCCCATGGAGGTAAATATGGTCACGCTAATACCTCAACCAGCCAAAGTAACCCCTGATTTTAAGTCGAAGAGAGCAGCAGTGCAGCGTCTGTGTCTCTAAATCCACTGGGTCACCTCACTCCCATAAGCGCACGAGCCTCAAACATGCCCGCTTCCACTCCGCCTAGCATAGACGCTTCACCTGGAGATTCATGCAAGACACTGACGGCGCAGAGCCGAAGGCAATCCGATGCAGATAACAAGCAGGTAACGTGCGCATCGAATGCCTCGACAAACACACCGGGAGCGACACACGTAGGCCCATCTACTCTAGTGATAAACGCTACACAACTGTTAGATAAAGGGCAATGTTTTAATCACGGATACTTCAAGTTCCACGTTGGAACATTTTGCTTTCAATTTTCTTCTGCATCTCCATCCTGTTGGTCTTGTAAAGTTATGCCTTTTATCCCACCCTACACTGCTGAACTCTTGAACGCATCTTTCACCGTCAAATCCAGTGGTGCATTCTAAGCAGCACAAATTGTCAACAAAAACTATAATGCGGATCCTCACTAGACAAAACCACGCTGAGTTAACTCTCGTGGGCACCAATGTTCCTGAGTCCAAATCTGGTACAATGAAAGGCAACTGGCAAGACGATCGCAACCAGTGGAGTTTCATCATCGATGCGATTGATATTAGAGTTGAGTCTTCAATGCTGCAACGCGTAGCGCGTCATCCGACTTCAGCACACTCTGACGAACCTCGAATTATTCGAGTAACACTAAACACAGCAGATGCGACAGAGGCTGTCCTGCTCTCAGCAGTTCGTCTTCTCAACTTACTTGAGCGGAGTGCGCATTTTACCCTATCTCCCTTGGAATAGTCGCCCAAAAGAAGTGGGTGAACAACGATGCATTCTTAACAGGGACAGCAAGAAAACAATATTTGTTCATGGTGTTCCTAATCTTCTGCAACCTGGTCACGATGCGCAAACACATGCCCGAGAGCAGTGGTGCAAAGTCCGCAAAGCACTCTCTGTTGTCAATGTTATTGTCAAATCCTTGATAAGTGTTCCATCATCACCTAACTACAATGGCTGCGGTCCAAGACTAATGAAAGTAGTATGATACTCCAAGGGAATGACGCAACTACTATTAGAAAACTGGTCAAAGTTATGAGCCAGGTTGCCAACAGAGACCCGGCTAAAGACAGCAGGCGAACGGCCAAGAATCGTGAGCAATTCGACGGAAACTGCAAACCCTGTAAATTCTTTACCTTCACAATCCTACGGAGAGACAGACACAACAACACCAACGAAACACAACAGGACAGAACGCAGCACGAGTGAAACGTCTGTTCAGGAACGCTCAACAATGCCATGCAATTTGACTGAAATTCATAAACCAAAATAAGCATTAAAGGCCGGTCACCTAACGGCTGGCTTAAAAAATACACAAAGATGACATCCATCAACGCAATCCTAACAATCAAAACACTATCTTTTATGTACACAAACGCCCAAAACCTTCTAAGTTGGCCGAACTTAAGGAACTCAATGCCTCACAACCGCAGGACTTCGTCATTATTACAGAGACTTGGACAAAGCGCGGCATAGCCGATTATGAGACCAATTTACCCGTTTTGTCGCTGCTTCGGAACGATAGAACTGGAAGGGTTGATGGTGTGATTCATTATTATAATAAAAACCTCTGATGTGAAGTTATTGATCACCCGGAAATCCGAGCTCCTTATTCGCTTTGGTGCCGCTTATGGTTGCGAAACAAGGACATGTCTACTAGCCGTGATTTACCACCCACCAAACCCTACGTCGGAAATAGGCTAAAACCGAATCACGTCTTTCAGTTTGCCTTGAACAAGTCCTACACCCACATTCTTATCACTGCAGACTTTAACGTGCAAGACATAGAAACGCCAGCAACCGATGGTTCACAGTTTAAAGCCTGCTCCCAAGAGCTAATTGCTGGCTACCCTTTGTATAGTCACGTAACCTCTCCCACCAGATTTCGAACTGCTAACAACCCATCGATACTGGATCTTGTGCTCACTAACGAGGAACTCCTGGTCAACGGGATAGTTCTAAGCACACCAATGGGTCGCAGTGACCCTGTTACTCTACTCTTTGACTATCTCTCCTATGCGGAATATCGTGAAAAGAGGGTGATAAAGTGCATACTGACACGCACTTTAACATCATATCTACGCTGGTTAAGGATACACCTCGGAATTTATTAACCGTATGTCCCCCAAATGTTGCCTCAGAAGCTTTTACAAAGACTTTTAGCACACTGGTACCGCACGCGTCGGAACAGAAGTCCTTCCAACCCAAAAACAAGCATAAGTAATTTCTGACGAGTAGCACAAATAAATGTATGTCCCGGAAGGATCAGGCATGGCGAAACCACCAGGACTGCTCGAATACCGAAACCTGGACTGCATACATGACACATCGTAACTTCTGTGGGAAGCTGATCCGCGAGGACAAGGTCACCCATCAGCAGGAGTTAATGAAGCGATTCTGCACGAATCGAAACTTCTGTACAGGCATCTTAACGGCCTTCGAAAGGTGAAGCGGGCGATTTCAGCACTAGTCACGGCTGATGGGTGCACGCGAATAGCAACGGAAGCAGCCGAGCTCCTACAGCTTCATTAATCCCATACTTTCCAGCAGGTAACGAGCCAAATATTCTCCTCGTTTCTATCACACCACCCTTGGGTTTAGACAACATCACCTTCACTGCGTAAGTTGGGTTGAATAAGTTATTATCCTTACTTATCCACAGTTATCCTCTAATCGACAACATCCGATCAAATGCTCTGCAGGCGGTAGCTAGTTATCTAGAAGAACTATTGAGTTTTCTATCAGCTATGTCTAGAGGAGAACTAGATTCTACCATTATGGAAGCGAGGGGCATTCACTCCTATCCAGAAAGAAGGTAGCTGCACTGATCCTACCAACTACTGTTCAGTAACGTTAGTTTCTGTACTATCCAAAGTGATGGAAACAATCATCGCAAATGCGCTGATGCGGTATCTGGAAAACCACAAGTTAATTGCCCCAGAGCAACATGGCTTTTGTTGAAAGCGTTCATGTAATGCTAACCTATTAATTGCACATGATAGCTGGACAGGAACCGTTGAGGATAGAATAGGGATCGATGTCATCTACCTGGACTTCTCAAAAGCATTTGATGGCTTAGACCATCGAATTCTCCTTCAGAAGCTTCAGAACTACGGCAATGGTGACCGAATCCTGCGTTAGATTGGCAATTTTCTACAAGAACGACGGCTAGAGTTGAGAGTCCGAGAACCATTGCCCGATGCAATTGATGTGGTGTTTGGAGTACCACGAGGCTCGGTACTTGGACCTCGTCTATCCTTGGTGTTCATTAAAAAATTTAGTGAGATCAGTTGTTTCCAATTTCCTGTTTTGTGCTGAGGAAACCAAAATATGGTGAAGGATCAGAGGACCGGACGACCACGAACGGCTCCAGTGCTATCTTAACACGGTGTCTAACTGGTCAGATCAAAACGCCCTACCATTCAAAATAGACAATTGTCGTGTTGTGCAATTACACTAAAGACGTAACTACACATATGTGCTTGGGACAAACGGACTGCCGACCGGCTCCATGAAACCTAACCTTGGTGTGCTCGCACAGAGCGACCTCAACTGTTCAAAACAGGCTGAGGTAGCTGCGAAAAGTGGCAACCAGCACGTCAGCATGCTGCGAAGGCCATTTGAAAGATTTGACCCATCAATCTTTCCAATGATGTACAATTCCTACGTGCGCCCGCATGTTGAATACGCTATCCAAGCTTGGCAACCTTGGTTGAAGCGCGATCTAGAGGCGTTAGAGATACCACAAGGAAGAGCAACAAAGAATGTAAAGGGTCTGCGCTATCCCTCTTACCACCGCACTCTGAAGTTGTTGGGAATTTTCAGCGGACGCTATCGAAGACTGCACCGCGATCTCATCTTAGTGTATCAAATATTGAGTAACCCAACCACGTATTACGAGATTCGCTAAAACTTAGCCGTAACACACATCTCAGGGGTAACTGCTTACAATTGAAGGAACAATATAGCCATCAAGATTGTCGACCTAATTAGTTTTCCCTTCGGATTTACCAACCCTGGAATGCACCCCCAGACTCAGTTGTATCCTCCCCTACATTGGACGTTTACAAAAACAATTAGATGTTGCTCTTAGATCCCAGCATTTTGGTACCTAAACTCCTCAACTGTGGATTACACCCAGCATACTTTTCTATAGAATTTTTGCATCAAATGGAACCAAGTGAGCGACCATATTTTACTTTTTTCACGTCTTATATCAACGATCACTGCATCCCAGTGTAAGTAATTCTGATTTCCTCTTAAGGGAAACGCCTCCTGTTATTAGTTGCACCTTCAGACGATCTTTCTATTCAGCTGTCCTGACCACAACCCGCCCCGACTAACCAGGAAGATTACGTTATGCCACCTGATTTGACCTTGAGTTGGCCAAGCGCTTGATTATATTGATAAACCATTTCGATCCCTTTGATCATTGCATTTGATTAGTGGTTTGTTTAACCCCTCATATCGTAGTGTAATAGCCTGAAGATGAGCCAATGAAACCAGCTCGTTCGCGACATCTTACGTTTGCGTTGGCAGTAACAATTTAATGGTAGCTCATATTTCGGTATTCATTTATAATTGCTTCCCGTCCATCTCGTAGGAATTGGTGCAAAGGTTTATATTTCATCACTACGAAAGTCAATTGCACAGTAATGAGAAGGTAGACCCGCGCAAATCAAAGGACTCCAGCCGTTGGGATACAACAACCGCCCTTATGTTTGCCGCCGAAAACAATGACATGGCAGCCCTCAGAAGGTTAGTTAGCACCTCAGTTTTTCTTCTGTCCACTTTGTTGCGTTGGAGATACAAAAATTAGCTATGCCAACGATGGGGAAGGAAACGTGTATCAAGCCAAGTTACACAATGTTAGTCTTAGTGGTTCTACAGGTGACTTGTCGACAACCGTGTTCATGATAACACTAGAAGTTCCTTATACCGGATCGCGCAAACTAGTTCTACTACGCATTCTATTAGCTCATTGTAATGGGCAGCAACATAGAATTCCATTTATAAGCGGTATGTCACTTATACAAAACAGATGGAATGGCAGTCCTGCTATCCCTACTAGCGGGAAAATTATGGGCTACATTTAAAGCGCCTGTGATATCTATTCTCTTGCTGGTACAGTCCCCGAACCAGAACACATTGCAGTAGTCGACTGTGACACACAGTTGACGTAAGGAAGAGTTCACTGACAGATGGGATCGGAGAATTGCAATAACACCCCCCTTCTTAATCAGGCTGACTATTGGCTTAGATGAAGCACCGACATAATCACGTCGCGTCCAATAGAAAAGCAAGAGAGCTTATCAACTGTTGCCCATCAACCGTCTTGTTTATTGGTACTTTCATGGCATTCCCTTCTTTGACAATACCATACGGTGGCGGGGCCTTCAACCTTGGCTGTGCTCATTTGTTCCAACAGAATAATTCCTTACCCTCACGCTTTCGGTACTTTTTGCATTTGTTTTCTTCCACGTACAAGGTCCTGATGTCCTATACTCGTGACATCTTAAAATCCCTATTTGATGCTGCTGCACTGAACGTCGCGGTTTTTCCCGGTCAAGCTGTACAAAATAAACTGAAGTGCATCTTTAAAAAACACTATAATTCTATTAAAAGCACCGTGCTGGATGGAGGGTTGCTCTAAGGAAGAAAACAGGGCGTATTATGAGGATACCCATTATAATAAGCTTAAATGTCCGATCACTTATGAGCAACGTGGATGAGATGAAAATCAAAATTCCCTGGTCTGAATACTCATAGGTTGGTCTAAGTATGCTCCAAGAGACGTGGCTCCATGGAGATGTTTAATGCACGTCAACAAAATTGGTTTCGCTTTTTTTACCACGTATTAACTGTTTGTTTTCGCAATGTAAACCATGATGGTAAAGTAGCTACCAATCGATTTTGCCTGTAAATATCTATTTTCTCCACAGTCGTCCCGCCTCTGAGGCTGAGGAATTTTCCGATCATTTCACTTAAGTGTCATCGACCACATTGATTCTTCTCTTTGCATCATTGCTGATGATTTCAAAAGAGTTGACACCACTCCTCTCACAGACCTAGGGCCGAAAATCCATGTAAACTTCTCTATCAGACTTGACGCAAATATAGATCTTATATTTTTAACAATACGGAACTGTTTTTGCTAGTATTGGCAGTTTTGGTAGTTCTGACCACTTAACCATCAATTTATCTCCTATCGTGTACAACACAGTAAATCATAAGATATTACTTGTCGTAAAGACCGCAGGCTTAAAAGAAGACAATGTTCACCTGAGTACATATATCGACTTCAGGAAATGGTTTCATCCACAGAGTTTAATCTATTTTGACAAAGGTGAACCTAAATACCACGACCAGTTAACGAGCTACATCAACTTCTGTTTTGATAGCTGCTGTCCAATGGAAACCATTTTCATCCGTGCCGATCGGTTTTCATCACCATACCTAAAACGCTTGGGTATACTCAGAGACAGCGTTCATAACGAAAGACCACGCTGCGGTGAACACTTTTCATATTTCTATCAAAACTGAATTGCGCTGTCTAAACCACCTGCATCTTCAGACCATACTGGGACATAGTAGCTGTTGGGATGTCTGGCGTGTGCTGAAACAACGGTGGAGTCTCTAACCGGGTGTCAAATCCAGATATAGACCTGGAGGAACTGAACCGAATCATCTGTTGCTCCAATGCTAACTCCACCTCTTACCGTTCTTCTCTACGATTGAATTGACCCACAACCTCTCTACCTACCGTTGAAAGAAATACAGTGCGCAATAAACCACTACAACTAAACTCAAACAAAGCGAGTGATCCGGATGGACTATTACCCGTTGTCTTCAAAGTGTGTGCCGATTCCTTGACCCAACTTCTTACTGACCTATACGAGTTGTGCATTGGAATGTCAAGTTGTTAACTGTTGGAGAAACACCAGAATTACACTGGGGTGCCAAAGAAAGGCTCAGATAAATACCGACCAATTGCTTGCACCTCGGTAAAATTGAAGATATTCGAGAAGATTGTTCCTGAAAAGTTGCTGAATCAGACTCCTTCTGTTGATTCGCTACAGTTTGCTTATCGTAGTTTGAGGTCCACTGAAGACGCATTAGCCTATCTTGTACAGTCAGTGATGTCATCACTAGACAACAAGCTCTAATCCGTATGCATGTGTATTCTCGATTACAGTAATGCTTTCGGCTGTGTAAACCGTGAGCTTTTTTGAGAAACATGTACGGTGCCGAAATTCCACTGTCTACTGTCCATCTTTTGAGAGACTACTTCACTGGACGTGCCCAGTTTACTCGACGTGGAGGTAGAACTTCCTCGCCGCTCATCACGGACGCTGGAGTTCTTCAAAGGGCTGTACTATCTCTGCACGTCTATTTCACCTACATCGACTCTTTACCTGCCCCTGCCGATGCCGTATTGCTGAAATATGCAGACGACGTAGTCTTCGGTATGCAACAACCGACCGCAGCCTCATCAACTCAATTACAAATTCATCTGGACAGCCTTGTAGTATGGTCCAGAGTTCACTTTTAATCGCTGAATGCATCAAAATGCAATGATGTCATTTTCTCTCTACATAATGTACATGATTATCAGCAACTCCTCAGAGAATACCCCGAACATCACATAGATGGCAAAAATTTGCACTCCAGGGTGTCAGTGAAGTACCTAGGTGTAACACTCAGTCGTGATCTTTTCTTTTCACTCCATGTTATTGGTGTTCTAACAAAGGTGAGGAGGCTTTCGTTCTAACCCCTTCGTTTGCAATACTTCTCTGCCCGCCGCCACTTAATTCTGAGATTTATCACCGCATGTGTCTTACCCCTTTGGACCTATTGTTCCACTGTGAGATTTCCTGGTTCCCTAGGGAAGCACTTCAAAATCCTAGGTAGGTCACTGACGCAATTATCTCGGTGTAGTAGAATTTCCAAACCGATTATTGTTGAGATTTTGTGTCCACTCACAACAATTCATGCATGAGGCTTTCTTCGAGAATACTTACTGATACAAATCACCCGCTTCATGGTGCACTACCCGAGTGTGTATCAACATTCTTAACCAGTCAATAGTATAGGTTCAATTTTGCCAGTATAAGGGGTTGGCACTTATCCGTTATTCCATATCCGGCACGATTATGTGCTACCAGACATCAGCTGCCCCGGGGTTTAAAAAAAAACGCTGTATCGTAATCACACTGCTTTTTATACCAGTTGTTACTTTACTTGTATATTTACTGCTACGTTTCTTTTACAATCTTGAAAGTGTGTGCGTAACATATGAATATTCATCCGTATGGGTATACAAAGCACTTCCTTGAATTGAAAAATGTGTTGCATTAAATATTCTCCAAGTCATCTCAAATGTCTGATCTTGATAAATGCGAGCTCGGTCCATTTGAGGTACATGAAGCGTTAGCTATAATATCTGCTCATACAACGAGAGCGAACCTTGTCATGGTGCAACGACTTTTGTGTCCCTTCGGCTCGTTAAACTGTTGCCACTGAGAAAGCTGACCACCATACTTTAACCGTCAGCCCAGTCCCACAATAGCGAATAGGGCGCGGTAATGTCAGCGCTACCTAACGATGCGTACAAGGTGACCGAGTCATCTCAGCTGGCACAGCAAAACCAGCTTGGTGAAGGGAATACTCGTATTTCTCAAAACGCGACTTATGACCCTATCGCCATGAACTCGTTGTTGAGACCATAGGTACATTTGCACGTGAATGACCACGACTCGTTGCTATACAAAACTAAGCGAACAGAGGCACTGTAGAGACGGTCGATTATGCTTCCGATTGGCAGGTATCCAGCGGGCTTTAATGATGTGGGTAAGAAACATCTTTACTTAAAGTGGTGTAAACAGGAACAGAGCTAACCAGCTACACGAAAATATCCAAAAGCTCTAGGTATGCACTGTGTAGGGGTCGCTGCGTTTAATGATACCGAACGGAATGAGGTTAGGCTCAGCAGAGAGCGCACTAGTTGAACTTAGGATTATCAACCAAACCAACACCGAAAGTAGGTCGGTGGATAAAACCTTCAGGTAACAAATAGCAGAGACTTTTCACAAAAGAAAACGGTGGGTGATGGAGGCGCATGAATGTAAAACAGGTAAACAGCAGTAGATGAGCACAACGTAGAACAATCTGTGGTTTCGCCAGTGGGTGTGCTACTACCTGGCTTTCAAAGGTTAAGTAGCGAAGTGACTGACGGGACATCATCCAGAATATTTGATCTAATGGCTTAACTCCAAAGTGGCGGCGCATTGTTAGGGAATCGTCCTACTTGGGGCCGGTTATTGGAAACTCATTACGTGCGCCTTTTTTATGGTGGATCACCAAACAAAGGCCCAATATCATACTATTGGTGTACATTTGTTGGAATACACTTATGAACCCTAATGAAGCAACAGGCGAGTCCCATCCACCAATTCGCAGTGTTATTAAACCGGCGCTTTTTATGGAAATCAACTACCACCAAACCATTCGCTGAAACAGTAGATTCCCGAGTCACGCAGCTGGCGACACGATGAGGTTTTGCAGCTATTAAGCCATGGATTACATACAACATCCGTGCAGTATAGAGTGGTTTTTTATTTTCTTTTAAAATCATAATGGGCTGTCTCTCGTTTGCGGTCATCTTGTCACAAACACCAAAGTCACTGCAAACCCATAGGAAAACAAGCTGATTCTCACGCAGAATAACGTTAGGACATCGTTGCTTCTTCAGAAGGAAT